AATATAATAAATATAATATGTTTATTCTTTTATTTTATAATTTATTCTTAATTAAAAAAAAAATTTGGAATTAATATATTATACTGTGTTCTAATAGTTACTTTAGCATTATCAAAAAAAAAGTAACGAAAAAGTAACGAATCGTTACTTTTCAAGTAACGATAACGCGTTATTTTTTAAAATTGGTAACGAGTAACGGTAACGAGTTACTTTTTTCAAAAAGTAACGGTAACGGTAACGCGTTACTTTTTTGAGGTAACGCGCACAACCCTGATAAAACCTAATAATTCAGGTAGACCTCGTATAGAACCGAGAATACAGTTACTTGCTGTTTTGTGGTTGCTAGCAATTCCTTGTTCTTATAGGTGAGTACCATTTATAAACTGTAGAAAATTATATTTAAAAAATCTTAAGAAATAATGCTGCTGTAAAATAAACGAGCCACAGAAATAGAAAAACTGTTATATAATTATATTGGGAGTACAAATTAGTTCGGTCCGTTTTTCAAAATTGGATCGCCTCCAAAGACAAGTCATTTTTTCGAGATAGAATTCAAAAATTGCCTGAGAGATGGGAAAAAGTAGTAGCCAGCGATGAACAATACTTTAATTAATCTGTTCATTCATTTTGTTTTGAAATAAATGCATTTTTGCACAAAAAAATAGACCGAACTAATTTGTACTCCCAATATTTTTAAATAATAGTTCCCATAATAAACTAATTGGAACTATTATCTCAAAATTAACCATTTAAAATCATCTATTATTCCCAATTAATTCATAATTGTTTATTTTCAAACAATAATTAGTTTTTATATAGTTTCTTTTTTATATACTTTCTTATATTGTGATGATTACTCACTCAGCAAAGTAAAAAATTATTTTAAATTAAAAATTTTTCTATTTTTGTTATTATCTCTCTCTCTCTCTCTCTCTCTCTCTTTCTGTGTGTGTTATATTTGTTTTCTATTATCTATGATTAATAATCGTGTATGGAATTTTTATTGTTATAGATCTGTTGGACTCAAATTCGATTTGGCTAAATCGTCACTAAATCACTGTGTACGACGTGTTATTCAGGCTCTTTGTAATATTTCAAGCGATATCATCAAATGGCCATCTGTGAATTGTATGAATACTGTAATAGAGAAGTTCAAACGAATAGCGGGTCTTGATAACGTTCTTGGTGCTATTGACGGTTCATATATTAAAATTCCAGCACCATCTGTAATATTTATAGTTTTGCTTTTTTTAAATATGTTATTATATTTAAATTTGGTTAATAGAAATTTATGTCTATTTTTTAGATAGATGCTCATTGTTACCTGACAAGAAAGTGTAGATATGCCATTATACTTCAAGCTGTATGTGATGTAGATATGCGTTTCATTGATTGTTATGCTGGATATCCTTGTTCTGTGGGGGATCTTAGAGTTTTCCGTAATTCTGATCTTTGGAATTGTGTCAACAGAAATCGTCAGTCTTTTTTTTGTAATCAAGAATTCATAATAGGAGACAAAGCATATCCTGTACTTGGATGGTGTTTGACCGCTTATAAGGATAATGGTCATTTTATATATATATATACATGTATATAAACATTGCAGTATTTTAACTTTACAAATAAGATCATGCATCTTTTGATCAAAGCAGGACCTTAAATACTAAATTAATATTCATACAGTAATATAAATATTAATTTAAGCATTTAAGATCCTACTTTGACCGAAAGACAGCATGATCTTTTTATTTAATATTGTTCTGTTTTATTAATACTATTTTACTTCACTTAAATTTTAATTTTATTTGATAATTATATCAGTAATGTTGCATTACTAGTCTTTTATATATACTTATTTTTGCAAATTTTTGTATGTTACAGGTCGAGAACAATTTTAATTTTATTTTATCACAGACTAGACAAATAATAGAACGCTTTTGCTTTATTAAAAGGACGCTTCAGACGTTTAAAATATTTATATATGTCCAAGATAGATTTGATACCTGCAACAATTTTAGCCTGTTGTGTTCTTCATAACATATGTTTAAGTGATACT